CTGGCAGTCTTTTAAAGCATCTGACCTTGGGTGAGCCGCACACGACTATAGATCACTTGAACCAGATCACCAATCCCAAAGGCAGAATGGCGGCATCTCAAGTCATAGTAGTGTTTCTGTCTGTTGTGGCTGAGATCCAGCACAGCCCTGGCGTGGTGATGAGGATCCCTGAGGGTGGCTCTCAGAGTCTCTGGATACTGCTTGTCTGGGTCATCCAGTCCATCACAGCTTGGTTGAGTGATTAGATCAAGAGGCGTGTCCAGCTCACAACCATACAACATCAAGGATGGGCTAAGACCTGTGCTGTCATGCGGGGCTATGTGAAGTGCAAAACAGATTTCTGGTAGAAACCTGTCCCATGCAGTGTGCTTGTCACTCACATAGGCACGGATAGCTGTTTTAAGTGTCCTGGTCACACGCTCTGTCGCATTTGTTTGCGGGTGATAAGCTGTAGTAAGGCTATGTGGTGAGCCTAGAGCTGACACAGTGTGTTCAAACAACTCACTAACAAAGGGAGAGCCTCTGTCTGAAATGAGATAGGTGGGGCTACCATGTCTAGCAAATATTTCACTTAAGAACTTGCTAGCTGCAACCTGAGCCGTGGCCTCTCTAACTGCACACACCTCAATCCATTTCGAAAAATAGTCCACAAAGACCAGTAAATAAGCATTCCCTGATTGAGTACGGGGCAAGGGACCCACACAGTCCACTCCTGTGTATTCCCAGGGATTTTGGGGCACAATAGGGACCATGAGATCAGCTTGTTTCTGTTGACTTGGTTTTGTGAGTTGGAAGACCGAGCAAGAGGTGACATAATGTTTGACATCACCTGCCATGCCAGGCCAAAAGAACCTGTCGTAGTCTCATCAGTGTTTTGGAAACACCAAGATGGCCAGCAGTGGGGTGGTCATGGTAATAGCTCAGCAGGGTTCCGCGAAGAGATGTTGGGGCAAAAAGTTTGAGTTCTCTTAATGGGTACAAACTACACACATTCTTTTGGTCCCTGTAATACAGCAAACTGTCATAGCATATTGTTCTTGAAATTTACTGTCCATCAGAACTGATGAGTCTGATTCAATATCACTGAGGAGCTGACCTGTCACAGGGTCGTCCATTTGGACTGGTAGAGGGTTCGATTATGTTGTCCTCCAGCATTTGTTGCACTTGATCCTCAATCAAATGCTTTTTGGTTGGTGATGAGCGATAGGGGGGAAGATTTATGGGCTTGGCGGTTCCAGTGTTGATCACATGTTCCGCCATTGTAGTGTGTCCAAGATGCCCATCAAAAGTGGAGCTGTGGTGGGAAAGAAGATCATACAGATCTGATTTTTGTGTTTCCTCCAGGCTCGCCTCAGCCAGTTTTGACTCCATAGTGTCTGACAAAATGTTCAGTGACATAACAGTCTGTTCAACAGGAAACAGTTCAAGACTCTGGTCCTTATTTTCATTCAAGGAAGGACAGGGACTGTCATCAATAAAAACTGTCCTTGTCGGTATATGGATGTTTACTGAGGCTCTCATCACAAAATTCATCCCTAATATTAAAGGGGAAGACAGGTTATGGATGATGGCAAAGCATTGATAAAAGCGCTTGTTCATAAAGCCAATACTCATCCAAGCCACACCATCTGGAAGGCAAGGAGCGTTGTCCGCTAGGCTCACTGGTGGCCCCTGCCACTGACGTATTTTTTGTGGACAAATCCTATTTACTTTAATGAGATCCGCACGTACAGCCGAAAGTGAAGCGCCTGTGTCCAGAATCGCCTCGATGCAGGTTCCATTAAAGTTCAGCTTCGTCTCAAATGGAGTGTTCCAGGTAGCAGTAGAATCATTGTCCTCCACATGACTAAGAATGTGGAATTCATTTGTAGAAAGGTGAGGCTCAGTCAACATCTGGAGGGAGGATTGCCTCGACAAAATATCCTCCCCTCCTTGAAGTTTCCCGATGGCCTTTGGGGTACTGCATCTACAGGTGGGCTGAAGCTTCCATTATCTGTTTCAGCTTCAGGTGTGTCCAGAGAAGTAGTGGGAGTGACAACATTATGGAACCAAGCTGACACGTGCTGTTGAATATGGTCCTGATTACAAGCAGGACACGTTTTCCATGTATATCCGGGGCTTGAGCACTTATAACAGCGTAGCTCAGCCCTCTGCGCCCTGTTCGGACACCAATTGTGACGGTGCGGCAAGAGGTTGGAGAAGGAGTTAGCAGCGGTGGTTAGCCGCTCTAACCCAAAACAGCAGGACGCACTTAAGTATTCTACACTTTCAATTTATTTAACTTCGTCCATGTAAAGGCAGATCTCCACGGTACTAAACATTATATTTTCATACATGAGAAAAGTAACGATAGTTTACCGCTCTGCACCTCATCATCACCTATGTTCTCTTCTACAACAAAGTGGAAGACTAGTTCTTCTGTACATTAGTACAATAAAGGAAAAGGGGAATAGGCGCCCCCTTGTGGTGATACCTACTCATCTTTAGGAACCAAACAGTATAATGACTGTTACACTGTCCGCCCTCCAACGCCGTCTCTGCGCCCAAATCCACCGCCTACTGACAAGCCTCGGACCCCCAGGAAACCCCTCCTGGCTCAGACTCTTCAACCTGAAAGTAAGCAAACAAACCGTTCCGCCTCTGCAAGATCCTTGGTTCCCTGAACTCACCATCTATGTCTTCCTTAGAAAACCAGAGCTCTAGGCTGACGCCCGCCAGAATCCAAGCCCTGCAGTTGTTCGTTCTCTGTTTAATAAATTCTTTAATTCATTATCTGTCTCCGGAGTGTGTTCTTCATGTGGGTTAGGGAACCTGGTACAAACATGACAGGCTCCTCTCAGTATCACAGACGACTGATGAAGTTTCTCACTTCCATACTTCTGCCACATCTATTAATACAGTCACGTATTTTCAAGTAGCACCACAATAACTGTTCTTCATTTGCATAACAAATATGTGTATAATAATTTTCCGTCAAGTACATTGACCTTTAAGTCATTAATATCTATTCAATTACTCTTTTATATGACACAATTTACAAAATGTGAATCATAGCTGAATTGGTTTTGTGTTGCCCTGCAACAGACTGGTGACCTGTCCAGGGTGTACCCTGCCTCTCCCCTGGAAAATTAGCTGGAGATAGGCACCAGGAACCCTCCCGACCCCACTAGGGACAAGGGTGTACAGAAAATAGATGGATGTCTGAATCCAACAGTCACAAGCTCTCCCTTAGAGAAACAATGTAAATGACAGGATGCTGATAGTTGACATCCAGAGTTTGACCTCACACAAATTTCTTCTGCTTTTTCTTTTTTGTCACCCTTAAATGTTTCAAAAAATCAAACATATTTCAATATTGGATAAAGATGATTTGAGTAAATACAAAGATCAGATCTAAAATAATTTAAAGGGAGAAAGACTAACCAAACCACACTGACCCTGTGTGTAAAAAGTAGTCACCCCCTGATCCTAACAGCTGGTTGTCATTACCCTTTGAGAAAACCTGAAGTCATTTTGGCGCACGCTTGGAAGTCTCCCATGGAGGCCATTGTTGCCCAGCCTCTCTTTCTTATTGGTGAACCATGACCTCTGACCTTAAGTGATGCCTGCAGAGCTTTAGAAGTTGCTCTGGGTTCTTTTGTGATTTTGAGGATCAGTCCTCTTTGTGTTTTTGGAGTAATTTTGAATAATTTGGGAAAGTTCTGCTCTCTTCCATGTTTCTTTGATTTGTGGACAATGGCTTCATAACCATTTCCAGACTGAAAGATCTCAGTGGCTTTGTATCTCATCAGTTCTGAGACTTTGTCAGACAGCAGCATTGTGTTGCTTTGTGAGATCTTCTAGTGCAGTGGTCCCCAACCCGCGGACCAACTGGTACCGGGCTGCGCAATTAATAATTCCGTTTTATGTATTATTTGAGTCTGGAGGATTTTTTATTTTGAAAATCCTTTAACCGGATTCTCGGTTACTTGCGCGACAACACTGAGCCCACAAGCAGCAAAATGAGTAAGAAACGGATCAGATGTCTTTGGAAAGTTTCTTTGCAAAGGGGAAAAGGCCCAGAGAAGAGACAGGAGGATGGATTTATCCCGGACCGGTAGGTGAGTCCCACATTACAAGCCCGCTCTGCGTAACATGCAGCGACCGGCTGCTAATGAGACAAAGAAGCTTCAAACTGCTTCGCCACGTAGAGACCAAGCAGGATGTGGATATGAGCAACACTTCGGGTGTTATTGTCTCCCATCACTCCCAGATGGGACCGTCTTGTTGCAGAGAAACAAGCTCAGGGCTCCCGTTAGTCATTATCGTGAGTTAAAATTTTCACGAAAGTAAAATACTCGTTTTTGTGGCGCATCTGTATCTTATTTTGAAGGGATATGTAAACGTTACCATAGTCAGAGCGTTTGGGCAGTGATCGAGAGGAGATGAGTAGAGCTTGTGAGTCTTAGGTCTGGTTTAGACGGCAAGATTTAAGGATTGTCGGCCGATTCTCCAAACCTCTGTGACAACAGAGCTGATAAAAGTACAACAGGTTCGATCGGTTCATGTTCAGCCACAAGGCAGGAGGCGGGAGGTGTTAACGACTCTACTTAGCATACGAATAGCCTAGCATATGCAAAGGCGCTTCAGCAGACCCACGTGGATTCTCAGTCATTGGATGAAAAACAATGACATCACAGTTCATCATTGACATGTGATTGGTTGGTTGATGTGTGCCCATTGGATAGCACTTATGACTTTATAAATAAACCCCGCCCCAATCATTAATATTTTTAATGCTGTATTTTACAAAATCTATATAAAAATAAACGCTGTATTGTATAAGCATTTGATATTGCTTATATGCAACATGTTCATATATGAGGAACATAATTGAGGCACAGAATTTTTTTTCTTTCATTTGTTTTTTTGTTTTTTTTTACTGTTTGCACACAAAATAAGACATAAATGCTTGTTCATCTCTGGACCATCTGGCAGTGTTTTTTTTGTCCAAACATGATCAAACATTATGCTGCGTTCAGGACAGGCCCAACATCTCTCCTGTAGCGTGGACCTGACGTCTCTTCCTGTAATGCAGTCCTGATGTCACTGAGGTCCTGGTTGGAGGAACTTGGGGTCCATCCTGACACCGCCTCATAGCTGCCATCTTCCCAGAATGCCACCTCCTCTGCTGCCAGTACTCTCTGCCTTCCTCCATCAGCTGTTAATACAGACAGACAATTATTATGAGCTACAGTGAAAATGTTTGGCAACTTCCAGCTTAGTATGCACACATAAGACATTAAAACAAAAAAACAAAAAAACACATTAATACATTCTTACAAAAAATAAAAACTTTAATGAAAAAGAAAACACTTGGAAACAATTGGAAGAAAAAATAATTAAAAGCAGTTGGAAATGAATAGTAAAACATAGTTCAACAAACTCTGACGCAGATAATTTGCTTTGATGGATTTTAATAAATCACAGTAGTTTAATCATTCAAGGAATTGTGACATCTCTAGATTAGTAATAAATCTTACCTGCTTCTTTCTTTAGCTACATCCGGAAGACTGGCAGTAGGTCCTGGATGCAGCTGGAAAACATTTTTGTGCATTGTCAATACATAGCATAATTACATTATGTACATAAACAATATTGAAGCATAAAATATCATCAACATTCTAAAATAGTAGATACTCACACACAGTTGCATCTCTGTCCTCAACACGGACATAAGAATGTTCCTGTAGAGTCTGATTGACACAATGTGACTCCCATTCTGTGGAGTCTGTGGAAATAAATGTAAAATTAAAAAAATATTGTAGCAAATATATTGCTTTTATAAGTTAAAATTATTCTCAACCAGCCATTGTACAATTGGGAATCAACACAGTGACTGTACATAATACATACCGGCTTCATGGCTCCGTCCTCATATCCGTCTGCCATGTTCTCGATCTCTACTGCTTACCACACTCTGCCTTGCTGTACTGCGTTATAACAAAATAAATAAAATAACCGGAAGATCAGTTTTCCTTACAAAT